CTTGTCCACGATGACGGGTTTCGGCGGCGGCTGGAACGCGCCGGGCTGGGAAGGCCCCGTGCTCTGCGGCCGGCCCGGCCCCGCGCTGGCCCCTGAGGAGACAGAAAGCGGGGTTCAAGACTGCTCGGGACCCGAGCTCCGGGGAACGCTGCCATCTCCCCCGGCTCGCGGTCCCGCGAGGGACCTCCGCCAAGGTCGCCCCAGACTTCCAGGCTCGCCTACCCCTAGCCTGGCCCTGCGCCCCTTGTGCTCCTGGCCCTTAAGCCTCGTCCACTTACAGCAGGCGACAGAGGCCGGCGCAGGGAGCAGCGCCCTGGCGGCTCCCACGCTCCGGGTCAGGCCCACGGCGGCTCCACGGCTCCCTGCAACGGAGGCCGCCATGCCTGCTCGCTCCCGTAGAGACTACAACTCCCAGTAATCAGTGCGGCGAGGTCACGACCTACTACGGCACTATGGCACCTGCTAGGGGACAAAATAGCCAAGTCTTTTTTTTTCCACTATGTCAAAACCCCGTTATGGGCTCGCGTCCTTCCTAGGTACCTTCTGTCAGCAGCTCTTACAGCATTTGCAACTTTCCTGTTTAACTTAACTTGTAGTTACCTGGGTAATTATTGGATGAGTGCCTACCTCCACCACCACACTTGTGTCCCCCACGTGGTCCCATTACCTTCTCTGGCTTTCACTCTGCGGAACGCAGGGGAAATAAAACGCCCTGACAGGACAGGGGGCGCAAAGTCCCTGAGGCGGCAGAGAGCATCGCCCCTGTGAGGAGCTACAATTGAGTTTGGGTGGGGATAGGTGGCATCGATGAATCCAGAAAAGGTAAATGAATAGTAAGTCTTGTTAAGAAATTTGGACTTTGTACGCTCAGCAAGGGTGAGAGAGCCCCTGCGAGGGTTTCACACTCAGAGCGGCGTGATTTACTTTATCACCTTTCGGTCATTTCAGTTGCAGCGACTTCCCCGAACTCCCGAACCCCTGCCGGTGCGTGCAGAATGCATCGCGTTCCCCTCCCGACCTTCGCCGCCGCAGGACCGCCGTCTGCAGGCGCGGCTGCAGCGCCCCACCTGCCGCTTCTCGCGAGACCTCCGCGCCGTCCCTGCCGGCTCCCTGCCCCGCCTAGAGGAAGTTCTGAGAACTGCAGCCGGTGCCGCCGAACTCTCCAAAACCCCTGTACTCCCTGGTCGCCCGTCCTCAGCTGTAGGTCACGGTCACCTGTCCTCAGCAGCTGCCGTCGCGCTGGGCCCTGCCCCCAGCGCCCCGCAGCCCCGCCGGGCCTCACAGCAGCCGGGACGGCGTGGCACACACGCCTCGTTCGTGCAGAAAGCCCCTCACCGCTGCCAGGCACGATGCTCTTTGTCTCTCCTCTGTTTTTCTCTTAAGGGCTTAACGTCTACTTTTTCTTGTCTCCTCCCAGTTTAAAGCGTCCCATAGTTTTCTGTTGATTGTGGGATAAAAAAATCAAGTTCTCAAAAAGCAACCAACCTCTGCAGGCTCCCCACCCCCCACTCTCCCCTTTGCCTTCCTGCGGGCACATGAACTCTGGCATCAGCCTGAGAAACAGGGCCACGTTTTGAGGACAGAATTCAGGGTACTGTGAGGAGAGGCAGGGTCTTCTAGTTTAACTCCAACTTCCTTGATGAAATAAGAATGCATCTTAGAATAACAAGGAGTCACACAACCAAAAGTTCAGGTTAGCAAAATTTTAGGCTTTTTCTGCCCCATCGAAAAAGTAGACGTCAAGCCCTTAAGAGAAAAAATAGAGGAGAGACAAAGATCTTTGTGCCTGGCAGCGGTGAGGGGGTCTCTGGACTAACTGTGCCCAGAACAGCTTGGTCACCGCTCCTTCCAGGACTGGTCCTAGGGGCCAGGGACAGAGAAATAGGGCACAGGCCTTCACAGGAGGAGGGCAGGACTGGTGCACAATCCCAGGCCGCCCTTGCCGCCCCCCCTTTCTAAGGAGGATGGGTTTTGTAAAGTTTGACAAGACTGGAAGAATAAGCCTGAAGAATCTTGTCTCATTTTCTCCTGAATTCCTGCTCACCCGGCAGCTGCCCAGTCGCTCTGAACTTGCCTTAGAGTGATTAGAGTGAAGGAAAAGCAGGGCCTGGAGGCATTTCACCAAACAGCTTCACAGAGCAGACCCAGAGAGCGGGGCCAGCGCAGCCCCTGCGGGAGCCCACCGCAGGGACAGAGCTCGCTGTCAGGCTTCGGTACGTTACACCCGTGGGGAGAACATAATCAACGTTGCCTGGTGTTCAGCCAAGGCAAGAACGGGTTCCAGGCAAGCGCTCTGCTCCGGGTTGTCGTGACATTAGGATTCCTGCCTAGTTTGTTCATTATTGCATCCTTCATGCCTAATACAGCACCTAACACTCAATAATCTTTCCAAGGAAAATTAGAAAGAGCATTCCGGTTGCACTTAGAAAATGGATAGGAGGCAGAAAACTACTGAAATATTCCAAAAGAGAGGTGCTGCTAACCTAAACATACATAAATAAATTATATATACATATACAGATATATGTCTATGTATGTGTGTGTGTGTGTGTGTGTGTGTGTGTGTGTGTGTATATAAAATCTCCCAAAGCATGATGCCTGGATCAGCAGCAGCAGCAACAGCTGGGAACATGCTAGAAATGAAAATTCTCACCCCCCCCCCC